CCCCCCCCCCCCCCCCCCCCCCCCCCCCCGCTCTCTGCTGGTTGCTTTCCTCTGCGGAGTAGGCTCTTCCTCCTAGTGTTCTAACATTAGCTGCTGCCGCTGGAAGGCAGCCCAGACGGTTGACCCTGGGAGCAGTGTCCCCCAGCCCCCTTCCCACACGCCCACGCTCAGGCCGTGGCCCGTTCTCCCAGGCCAGAGTGACCGTCTTCCCCGGCCAGGCCTGCCTCCTCTCCCTGGCCAGTGTCTCAGCCTCTCTCTCAAGTCTAGAGACTGTTCCAGGGGAGAGAGTGGAGCGCGGCTGTAGGCTGCCTCGCTTTCCCCAGCCTCAAGGTATTTCCCACAACAGCCGACACTGGTTTGGGGAGCAGGTCCTTCCCTTTGTTCTTGTCAGATTAGGATGCCCAGGCTGTGATTTGCCCAGTTGGAGGAGTCCATGGCCATGCCAGGCCTCGCACCCAGCTGTCTGGGTGCTGAGGGTCTTCGTACTTGCGGCCACCCAGAGTTGGCACTGGGCTCAGCAGCCCCAGCCAGGATGGCTGGCAGGCCCAGGCTGGCCTGAGGTTAGAACCCAGAGGTGCACAGATGGTCTGAGGCAGTCCGATGCCTTTTCCCTGAGCAAACAAAGCCACTAGCCGTGCCTTGGCTAACCCTGAAGCCCCTGAAGCCCGGGCCACCGCTCCATCTCCGTCTGCTCTCTGAGATTCTCTGCACAAGGGTGCTCGTCCCTTCTGGGCTTCTCTTTTTCTTGTGGGGCACGGCTCTGTCTTCTGCTTTCCACTGCACTGGTCTCACTGTGTTCCTTTTTGGAGGCTGGGGTACGCTGCTTGTTCCGCTCAAGTGCATGAGTGTGAGCCTGCCTGTGTTGTGTTGTGGTTCCCCATAACAGTGTTATGGGGAAAAAGTGATGTGATGGCTTTAGTCGGTAATCTGCAGAGCAAAGCTATGGAGAAGCATGATTATGGCCAGAGATGAGCTCTGCCATTTTCTATCAGACCTAGTTCCTCATTAAGTAAAGACCTGAATTGTGTCTTTATTTGAGTCAGGCCTTCTTTCTTTGGTCAGACAGATGGCCCCTGAAGCCCCAGTTTGATTTCCAGCTTTTGCCTTCCCTGTGGAAGATCTGATTCCAAAACCTTCCCTTGTGATCTGAGGAATCTCACAGAGACCAGGCCCTGTGCTGGGGGGCATCACAGTGGGAGAGATATAAGGGGAGCTGTGCTCCTTGTCCTCTTTTCTGCAAACACCAGCCAAGGCCTGGGTGCTGGCTTCAGCGTGCACAGTGAGTGTCATATGAACCCGAGGCTAGGAGTCCCTACGGCCTGTTGGGCCTTGCCGCGTAATGATGGGCTGGCTCAGCCTTCTTGCAGTGGTGCAGAGGATTTGAAGGTTGGGAAGGCTGGCTGCAGAATGGTACAGACCAGCAGGAATTTTATCATAGTCTAGGCATACCCGAGATAAATTGGCTCTGGCCCACCTGGAGCCCTGAGGGGACCTTGGTGTTGGGCTCAGAGAAACCTGACAGTGGTCAGGGTATGCCTGGGCCTGACATCCTGGGAGTTGGTGGGAGAGCTGGTGAGTGAGGCCCCAGAAAGGGCAGGGACAGGGCAGCTCGGAGGGTTTTGGAAGCAGGTGCTCATGGCAGGCTCGGGGCCTCTCGCTGGGTAAAGCAGCCCCAGCACTTCCTCAGTCTAGGACTCAGAGCCCCGGAGCAAAGAGGGCCTGGCTGGCCACGCCGGTGTCCTGTCTCTTGTCAGAGATGGAGGTGGAGGCCCGCCAAGACACTGCAGTGTTGGAGGGAGGAGGCCCAGTGCAAGAGTCGGGTGCTGATAGCAGAAGGTCATGCACTTTCACATGCTTGGTGAGAGAGCGGGAATGGGGCTCACTGAGAGCAGGGGACGTGGAGAAGGTGTTCCTTCAAGTTGTGAGATCTGAGTGCAAGTGATCGCTGCCCTCTTACTCCCTGGGGTGCAGAGGGGGCCCCCAACTGTCCAGCTGGCCCTCTCTCCCCTTCTCCACCAAGTTTCGACTTGGCATGAGCCCAAAGATTTGGGGAGGTGGCAGGTTCTGCCCAGTGAAAGTCTGTTTGCATTGGCCCTGCCTTTGCCTGGTGAGTGGCAGCAGGAGCGAGACAGGCTTGGGCAGACAGGTGGCCATAGCTGTTGGTCACCAGATAGTCACGTGGCACCTATTCTGCGCTGGGACAAGATGGCAGCCTTAAGAAGCTTAATTCTCAGGGGCAGAGAATAAGCACAGAAGCAAAGGAGCTGATGCAGGCAGTGCGGAACACTCAAGAGAAAAGCACAGGTGGGGAGGGTGCCCTTTGGCTGGGATGGTCGGGGAAGGTGGCCGGAATGAGGTGGGAGCCTGTGAGGAGCCTGTCGTGGAGAGACCTGAGGTGGCCTGGGCTTGGCTCCCGCGGGCCTGGTGGCTGTGGGGAGAGAGGTGGCCGGGTTCTCTGGTTGCTGTGGGAAGTCATTGGAGGTTCGTAAGCAGAAGAGCAATGTCGGCTGGCCTCTGTGGGTTCTGGGTGGAGGATGGAGGGTGGGCCCAGGGCACAGGCCGGGGACCAGTTAGGAGGCTGGTTTGGTCTCTCTGTGGAGGATGGTGGTGTCTCAGAGCAGGGCCTTGGGGGCGTGAGAAGCACTCTCATTCCAAGAGTGTGTCCTCCAGCCTGGGGAACGGACGGTCTGCCGCCAACAGGGATAAATCCTTGCTGAGCGAACGAATGCGTGAGCAAGGGCCCCGGAGCCCCTGTGGCCCGGCCCAGTGCTTCCCTCTGTAGGCACAGACCCCAGCCTCTCTGGCACCCACACAGGTGTCAGCAGTCCCTGCGAGCGCCCAGATCTAGAGGGCCCTGCCGTGCCCCTCTGTCGGGAACATGCCAGCTTTGTGGAAGGACAAGTCAGCGGGCTGACTCCCTAGCTCGCTTCCTGTTGTCTGTAAACCCCAAGCCCTCCTCGGTGGGTCTGCGTGCCAGTGCAGCGGACAGGCGGCTCCAGGCTTCTTGCTGTCTTCTGCTTTCCGTGGCCCGATCCTGGTTTGGGTTTCTGTGGGCCGCCCGCCTTGGCTTGCTTTGCCACCTGCCCCCTCAACCCAAGCGTGGGGTGGGGGCTCTGGTTCCCCGGTGGATGTTTGCTTTGTGTCAAGGTGCTCCTGCCGTGTCAGGGTTGTCTCCCTCAGCAGGCAAGGCCCCTGGCCTAGGCCAAGCCCAACTTCTGTCTCTGAACCCTCCCCCTGGGAGCAGAGACTGCCTGGCGTCCGTGGGCTGAGTGCTTGGTTGTTTGGGGCCTCATGGCGCGGAGGCAGGGTTCTTGAGTCTTTGTCACCCACTCTCCATTAGGTGGCTTTGGTGTGGGCTTTCTTTGTGCATCCTGCTGTGTTAACCAGGTCGTCTGGGAGAGAGGCAGACGCAGCTGTCTTTAACTTTTTCCAGATATTTCTCTGGATGACTGTAGATGGGATGGTTAAAGTCCCTGTGGAGTCCAAGAGGGCAACCTATCCCGAAAATATAATGAGTGTTTTAAACTGAGGAGGGGGTACTGGAGAAGACCTGCCCCAGCCCCTTTGCTCCTTGCAGGCTTCTTCTGGTCCTTGAGCACCCGCTCCAGTGCTTCCCCCAGGAAGCCAGCCCTGACCTCCCGCACCCCAGCACCCTTGGCCTGGCCCTGTCCTCTCTGGTCCCACATTCTCTGTAGTGTAATGGTTTGTCTGTGTGACTGTGTCCTCCATGAAATGTGAGCTTCCTGAGGGCCAAGGCAGGCCTCCTTTACCTCTGTGTCCCAGCCTGGGCAGGATGTACCCTTAATAACCTGACTGGATGAACACAGAGCTGACTGAGGGCAGAGGTCTCTGAACTGGGGAGCTGGGGCCAGGCACTCGCCACCCTTTTATCTGGGAGGGCCAGGTGTTCCTAGTCAGCTCCACCCTCCTCCTCCTGGGCCTGAGAGCCCCGGGCCTGGTTCCCGCCCACTTCTCAGACCGGACGCCTGTTGTCGCTGTTATTTGGGGCTCCTCTCAGAAGTTGGCGTTCTCTTGGACAGGCTGACTCCTCTGGGACCGAAGGCTTCTTTCCCCGTCACGTGCTCAACCCCTAGCGCAGCCTTCATGTGAATAATCACCAGTACTTAGGAGTGGGTGAAGGAAAGAAGGAAGGAAGGAGCCTTAGGAATACTTGAGGCAGACCTTTCTTCCTGGGGCCCCCATGGGCACCGTCTCCTCCTCACCAGAGGTCAGAACAGGCCTCCTGACCCGTGCCTCAACTAGCACAGGGGAGCCCGGAATGTTCTGCACTCAAGTTACTGTGTAGCCGTGGAGCACTGCCTGGTCTTGGGGCCCTTGTAGGCCCGACTGGCCTGTTTTTCTCCCAGTGGCCATAGCATTTTGTGAGGCTGGGTGTGGGGTTTGAGGGGAGGCGTGGAATGCTTATGGTGGGAAGGGAAGCCATTGAAATACGGTGCCAAGGAGTTCAAAAGCCATCGCTCTCAGCTGTGACCAAACATAACCTTTGAGTTTCTGTTTCAGTTCAGAGAGGGTGCCTGGGGGCCTCCGTGTAGTGGTGAAGCAGCTTGCACAGCGCAGGGTCCCCGGCTCGAGCTGTACCTGGTGCTTCTGTGTCGAGGACGGGGAGCTGTTCTCCTGGGGTCTTGGGGGAGGGAAGGAGCTGAGGGCGGCAGAAGGGCCTCCGCTCCTCCCTGGGGGCTCTTCCTGTCATTGAGAGGCCCCCCTCTTCTCCCAGCCTGCGCTGTGGGGCGGCCTCTCCGCAGCCCGGTGCGGTGAACCGTGTGCATCACACCCCCTCCTGCGTCCCCGAGTGTCAGAAGTCGTGGGGCTTTCTGGTGTGTTTTTTGAAGCCATGAACTTGATGGACTCCATAACTCAATGGAGACTTTGGACAGAGAGTCCAGGTCTAATTATCGGCAGATGTTGCCTCTTAGAATGCTTTTTTTCTCCTTTCCCTAATCTGACGTTGGCAAAAGACAGTTACCCCTTTAATTGTGACTTTAGTGAGGGATCAGTGCAGGGTCATGTGCAAACGTGCTTCTTATGACTTGAAGAGTGAATAGCTTTTCTGGTTGTTTTCAGCACACGCCAAAGAAGATGAGTCAAGGACCGACACTTTTCTCTTGTGGAATTATGGGTGAGTAACCAAGGTGGCTGTGAAGAGCCCTTCTCTAGTCCTTCCACCAGGGCCTGAGTCCTCCAGGTGAGATGCTGGAAGCCCTTTCTGGACACAGGCACAAAGAGCAGCAGTGGGGTCTCGTCTCTGTGCTCAAACCGTCTCAGGCCCGGCCGTGCTGGAGTGGCACCCGGGCTGTGGGGCTGAGTGAGCAGATGGGCGCTGGGGTATGGGTTGCAGATGTCATCTCCAACCACTGTGTTGAGAGTTTCTGTCTGGTTGTGAAGGTAATCATGTTCCCTTTGAGATATTCAGAAGACGCACCGTAGTGTAAAGTACAAAATAAAAATCTCTCCTAGCCCCAGTACCCAGGGAGAACTCCTGGTTAACATTTTGGTGTATTGTTATGTTCTTTGAAGTTTTGACATAGCCAAGTCTACGATGGGGGACAAATGATTGTAAAAAAATTGTATACAAAAAACTTTTTTTTTCTGGTTTCACTTAGTAGTCCTTAACTACTATCCTTTCCCCAGGGCTTGGCGTTGGCCCAGCCTGTGTGGTTTGAGTCTGTAGTACCTCATTGTGCATCACCGTGTATTTAACGATTTAACTGTCCCTTGTTTGTTCGGTGGAATGGCTGTTTTGTTTGCCGTTGTGATGAACGGTGACTATGTGACTACGTGTCTAAGTCTTTTGTCTTTTGTCTGCCTTCTGGATTATTCCTTAGGATTTCCCAGGAGTGGCTTAGAGAGGCCACGGGGCAGGAACATTTTTAAGGTTCTTGCTTCGTATTGTTGACATGTTTTCCAGAAGGGTTGTCTTGGTCTCTTGTGTCCCCGCAAGTGTGAATGACTCTTTTTTATAAAGGGGCGGAGGAGATGACTGTATTGATTATATTGATTTTTCTGTGCTCCAGATGATCGGGCGCAATCTCTCCTTTCGCTGTCTCTGCATGACTCCTGCCCCCTGTGGGGACACCCTGCCGGATGAGTTTCTGTAATGTTGACGTTGAGGCAGCAACCAAGCTCCCATGGTGGGTGACCATTGCAGGCCTTCGGCTATTCCAGGCCTGACTTCACAGGACCGTGCCAGGTCTTCTCTCCTTTCCTCTCAGCCTTTGACTCTGTGCAGTGTTTTCTTTGTCTTCTTTAGACTCTGTCCCGTAGATGGGGTGATGAGGGTGGAGGGGGAGCTGGGTATGTTGCCGTGAGCGCCAGGCTCCTTCCTCACAGGGTCTCTGGGACTCTGCAGCGACTCTGGTGTGGGGCCAGTGGGGACGCCCCATTCACATATGGGGAAACCAAGGCCTCGTGAGGTGACTCCCCACCAAGCTCCCTTGGCAGAGTTGGACCCAGGTTGGGGAAGAAGGAAGATTGTTTTCTTCTCAGTCACAAGCCACAGCTCAGTGGGAGAGCCCCAGGTGGTCCTCTTGATGCTGCCACCCAGAGGAAACGGAAACAGGGAGATCACCTGGCCTTGGTTTACCCTTGTGACACACTTCTGAAACCTGTCCCCCGACTGGGCTTGATTGAGCACCTTGTTGGTGGTTAACGGCTTTCGACAAACCCTCAGTGACTTAGCCACGTGGCTCAGAAGCTTGCCTCATTGCCTGCTTCATGGGCTGGACTCAGTTGTGCTGTGGGGAAACTGCCTGCCTTTGTCCTGCCCGGAAGGAGAGGGAGGCCCCTGGGCACACTCAGCTCCTCAGCCCAGCCTGGACGTGAGCTTTCAGCTGCGCCAGCCTGGTAAACTGGTGGTGGGGGTGTTGGTCTTTATTTCAAGGCCGTCTGTGCCTGACGTAGGCTGGCTCCAGGGCACTGCCAGGCAGCGGAGGAACGGCCAGGTGGGGGGGGTCTGCCGAGTCCTCTCGTCCTTCTCCTCAGCTGCCTGTTGGCCAGCCCCTCCTTGATTGGGGGAGACCCTGGCCCATCTGAAGTGTGCATTACCAAGGCTTTTCCTTCACCACGGTTCATTTCGGTGGTTTGTTCCAGTAGGTGTTTATTGAGGGTCAGCTCTGTGTCAGGCACTTGGCGCAGAGAGAGAAAATCAGCCCCTGCCCTCAAGGGGGTGTCTGTCTAGTGGAGTGGAGGGATGGAGAAACAGTGAATTCCCTGTGGATTAGGGTCCTTAGAGCCGAGGGCAGATCAGCCCACCTTCCTGAGCCTCAGTCCCCTCATCTTGCAGATTGCGGTTCTTGGTAATCTTTAAAGAGACAGCAGCACACAGAAGGCGCCGGCTCAGTCCCTCCCACCTTCAGCCCCTTCCTGGGCACTTGCCGAGGTGGAATGTCAGCCGTCAGAGGCCTTCCCAAGCCTGTGTGCTGGTGGAAGCTCAGGTGACCGCTCCTGCCCATTTTAACATGTGCACCGAGGTGTGGCGCTAGCCTGCGCCGTGAACGGGGAGGGCATCCCAGGCAGTGAGGTCTCATTTTCAGCCTGCCTGCTTTTTAATGGCACTTCAAGAGGGTCTTGAGCCTTTCCAGGACTGGACAATACTCAGCCAAGACAAAATGTCCTATTACTATAATCACCAACCCCCGTCCCCTGGAGATAAAGAACTCCTGTTGTGGTCCTGATCAGTGGAATTCTCCTGTGATTGCTGGGGACAGCTTGGCCCTGTGACTCAGGGCATTTCCCTGCCAAGCCCCCATTGCAAGGGTCCTAGCTGGAAGCCAGGGCGAGTTGGAGTTTCCTGAGCATTCTTAAGAAAATCCAGGCAAGCGCGTTAGGGTGGGGAGTGCAGCGGCCTATTTGCTTCCTCTTAAATAGCCACCCTCTAGAGTAGCCCGGCCTCCCCTACACCCACTTAGATAAAATGCCTTACTCATGTAATCAAGGGCTCACAACAGTGTGTGTTCTTCTTCTTCTTTTTTTTTTTTTAAAGATTTTATTTATTTATTTGACAGAGAGAGACACAGTGAGAGAGGGAACACAAGCAGGGGGAGAGGGAGAGGGAGAAGCAGGCTTCCCGCGGAGCAGGGAGCCCGATGCGGGGCTCGATCCCAGGACCCTTGGGATCCTGACCTGAGCCGAAGGCAGACGCTTAACAACTGAGCCACCCAGGCGCCCCTCAGTATGTGTTCTTTTTAAGTACTTTATGTTATTGTGAGCGGGATGATGGGTCCCTCCCCACCGTTGTCTCCCCCCCCCCCGCCCCCCCACACCCTAAGTTTGGGAACTTGATATAAAGAAGTGGTTTTGTGCTTTCCCAAATTGGGGGAGTGAACAAAGCCAGGAGGAGGTGTGAATGGCAGAAGCAGGGCACAGTAGGGCCAGGCCACTGCCTGGCCTGCTCTGCACCAGGGCCCAGTGCTCCTTCTTAGGTTGTGAGCCCAGCCCGGTCCCCGAAGGGCTCTTTCTAGCAGAGACAGTGTTTGCCTCTGGTTTCCTTTCTCCCCTCCCATACCACCCCGAGAACACTTTCTGTGCAGAGCGGGAATTTCCTCTGCAAGTGACTTCTCTGGGGAAGAGCCATGTACATGACTGGTTCCTGTGTTCTTAACACAGGAAGCCTTGGTCAGGTGGCAGCTCCAGGGCCCTGTGGTCAGCCGGCCTGGCAGGCGGGCCAGCCCTTGCTGCTGGCCATGATCTCTAGCGGGTGGAGAAGGGGGCTTGGCTGCACCTGACGGAAGCACTCTGTGCTGGGAGAGGCAGGTGCGCCCCCCCCCCCCGCCCCCGCCCCGGCCAGGTCCTCCATCGCTTGCTGTGGGAGATGCCTCTTCGTGCTGACCCAGGGGCACATGTGTGTTAGTTTATTCTTTTTTGGTGAAGCAGGGCAAGTGGAGTGAGAGCACGCTCCACTCACCACCCTTGGCTAATTGCACCCGTTAAATGAGTTCTGTGTCACAGGGACAATGGACACTACACATTCCATTTTCCTCACCACTCAGGCGAGGAGAGACCTGGAAATCAAATAGTATGTGAGAAAGCGCATGCAATACCACTTATTGCAAAAGGGCCACTAGGAAAAGTCGCGTAAACACAAGTCAGTGAACAGAGAACAAAACAATTCATAGGCTAAAAAAAAATGGCACGGAAACCCATAATTACTTTAGGAGTTATGGTAATAAATTATTTATTAATGTAAATTATTTTGCAGGCAGAGAACATAGAGAAACTTGAGCAGAAGGATCATGCATTATGTATAAAAGGGAATTGTAAAAATATTATAGCAGCCTTACTTGTGACACTCTGGTTCAGGTTCGTCAGCATTTTAATTATACGCCCTTATTTTCTGTGTTTAATTACTTGGCTGTTAAAGTCTACTCTGTACATGAAAGGGTTGTTCCCAGGGGCACTCTCTGTATTAATTTCTACAGGGTAAACCAGTTGGCTGTGTTGGGCTGTGCGGGACTGGAAGATTTCACTTTGAGATTTCATAGCTTTTGGTCTTTTAACTCCACCACTCGTTGAAAGTGGAATGTGATTGCACCTTGTATGAGAAAGCTGGCATTTGGAAGTGGGACATTTTCGATTTCTTAGAACGAGCACGTGACTGAGACTGAAGGGACAACCGTAGCAGCCCCTGAGCTGCTCAGGCCGGTTTCTGGTCTCTGCTGCTGCTTCTCTCTCGGGGCTAGCCATTTGGAATATGATCACTGGACCAGAGCCTCCTATAAGAAACAGATTATTAACTGAAATTGGCTAAAGAGAGCCTTGTTTTCATTTTTAAAAGCACATCTCCATACAGGCATGCAGATGTATGATTTTTTAATTTTATTTTTTTATTTATTTTTATTTGTCGTGATTTTTCAGTCCCTAAAGTGGTTTAAGGTTTGTCCATAGAGAGTGCTTTAAATGTTTCCTCGCCCCATGTATTGGTTTCCAGCAGTGTTTCTGGAATAAAGTACAGACTGGAAGTAGGTGCGAAGTGTAATTGGCACAAGATGGCTGTTTATGGTGACAAGTGAAAAGGGAGCCTCCCGGGCTGCCTTCTCGCCCAGGCTGGCCTGCCTTGGGGTGGGGAGGGGGCCACAGTGGTGCCAGAGGACGGGGAATGACAACTGTGAGACTGACTTTGGG